GGGGAGGTGGGATTGGCAGTAGTGGGAAACTGCCTGGGGAAGGCAGGCACACCTCATCAACAAGCGTACCTGCACAATGAATATATGTATACCTAACCCTGAATTGTACCCCACAATTTCAAAATAAATAAAAAAGAAACCAATATTAGGTGAACATCACAGCAACAATTGCTGTAGAAAGAATCTTCAATGAATGCTAAAATTAGACAAGAAAAAGAACATGCTGAGTCTCAAAAGCTCTCCCCATAAAAAATTATTTGTTAAGAAAGGAAGAATAACTTTGTAGTGGAGAAGCCTGGCATATACTATCTTAATCAAGTAATCATATTTAATATCAGCAGGCATAAGGCATACTGACATCATGTACCCCAAATATGATTTACTGAAAAGGGCATACTATCACTGCTATGTGTTTTTTTAAATCAAAAGTGCATAACTTTAATCATAGGAATACATCCGAAAAATTCAAATGGAGGACTACTGTACAAAATTATTGTCCAGTATTCTTTAAATGTGTCAATTTAATGAAATTCAAAGAAAGACTGAGAGAATATCCCAGATTTGGAGTCACGGTAGAGGACAAAGGAGATATGCCAAGTGAATACAATGTGGAATCTTGAATTGTATCCTGGACTAGATACAAAGGACATTCGTAGAACAATTAGAAAAATGTGAATATTGTTTTTAGGTTAGTTAGTATTATATCAGTGTTAATTGTGTGATTTCAACAATCGTATGTAAAAATGTTATAATAATGGTTATATCAAATGCTAACATTAACAAAACTAGATAGAGCATATACAGGAACTCTAACATTCTCTTGTAAGTTTAAAATAACTTCAATCTCGTAAGTTAAAAGTTGGAAAAAAAAACAAACAAATTTTACTGAAGAATATTTACAATGGAATGACAGTCTCATGAAAAATTGGTTGTCTTTTTAAGTGACCAAATTTTAAATTGCAGTTACAACAAAATACCACGTCACACCCACTTAATAGCTAAGATTTAAAATCTAGATGCTTTTATCCTATTAAAAATTTTTAAAAATAAAAATGAAAGACTGATCTTTTCCATTGGTGATAAGAGACAGTAACTGAAAATCTCATATATTACTGGATGGTAGGGTGTAACATTTCCATCTCTTTAGATGACTCTTGGGTAGTTTCCTATAAAGTTCAGCAGAAATCTATCTTATGATCAAGCAATTCCATTTTTAGGTAGTCACAAAAGACATCTGCTAGCATATTAAAAATAGGCAAAAACTGAAAACAACCCAGGTGTCCATCAACAAGAGAATGGATAAACAAATTGTGATATGACCATTTAATGGAATATTATGTGGCAAGTATAAAGGAAAAAATGTTTAAACATATTGTTACTGGTAATTACATGAATTTCAATATCATTATACTGAGGAGAAGAAGTCAGACATACACTGATTCCACTAATATTAATTTCAAGAATAGGCTAAACTTATCTATGGTCATAGAAATCACAACATAGTTTCCTATCAGAATTTGCTTGGCTGGAAAGAGGCAGTATAGTAGGTTCAAAAATAGTAGTTACTTTTAAGAAAATTCCTTGAATTATACAATCAAAACCTATGCATTTAGCTGTGTAAATTTTACCTATGCAAAGTATAAATTATTAAAAATAAGAAGAGCCGGGCTCGGTGGCTCAGCCTGTAATCCCAGCAATTTGGGAGGCTGAGGTGAGTAGATTGCCTGAGCCCGCGAATTGGAGACCCACCTTGGCAACGTGATGAGACCTTATTTCTACAATAAATAAAAAAAATTAGCTGGGCATGGTAGCACACGCCTGTAGTTCCAGGTACTTGGAAGGCTGAGGCAGAAGGATTGCCGGAGCCTAGCAGGTCGAGGCTGCGGTGGCCGGGAGCAGCCACTGCACTCCAGTCTGGGTGACAGAGTGAGACTCCAACTCAAAATAAATAAATAAATAAATAAGAAGAAAGCTCTTCACATAGTGATATGTAATAATTAGCCAGAAATACTAAAATATGTATATTACATAAGTATATAAAAGAAAATTATATAACAGTATAAAAGTACAAGTATATAGATGTACCTATCTATGTACACATACATTTTAAAATAAAATTTTTAAAATGCTCCTATCCCATAAGGAGAAAAAGAAGTATTATGATTTTTCTAGCTTATTTGAAAACTTTTAAAATAACATAAAGTAAATATGGCAAAATGTTGATAGTGATGGAACATGGGTTTGGCTTCCTAGTATGTGCCAATTTACTGTTCTCTTCTCCTAATATTCTATATATTTATGTTGTGTCCATAATGAACAATTTTACGAAATGCACAACAGAGCAGATCTTTCATTGAACAAGTGAAAATAAATGAATTATACATGTTTAAGCATTTAATAGAAAAATAAAGAAATACAGGGGAAACTATATATAGGTAAATTAGATCATTAAAAAACAAAACTGGTAAATAATACCAAAGACCTGATTGTGGGAGAGGGGAAGGGGAAGGCTGGTGTCGCTAAAAAATATACTAGTTTAATTTATTCATGAGAAAAGCCATAGCAGAAATAACGAAAACTATGATGAAAAGTGAATGCATGATTGAAACAAGAGAAATTTAATGGAATACTGAATAAATGCTGTTGTGTCTGAAAATCTGCATTAATTATGATTTTCTAGGATAAAAAAATTAAATTTAAGACATAAAACAAAGAACAAGCAATAACCATGGGGTGAGGGGAAGGGAAAAAATTCTAGACAGCCTCTTTTCTCATTCCAAACCACCAAAACCAAAGGAGAGTTCAAATGATTTCACTGATGTGTTCACTTATACACTTACAATTATGCTAGGGTTTTAAACCTATTTGGGAATGAAGAATTAAAATAAAATCCTCAAAATTATGTTAACACAACCAGAAAATCTGATATAAAAATATGACAAAAAACAGCACAAAAAAGAAAATCATGGATCAATTTCACTTAGTTGTATACTTGCCAAAATTCCAAATCAAATTAAATACCCATAAATAAGTAGTAAAGTAAAAGAATAAAATAAAACATTTTAAAATCTAATAATAGGGTCTGTTCATTCAAGGAATAAAAAGAAGTTTCAATAATAGAAAATTAATTCACATTGATAAAAGTCTATAAAAGGAATAGTAAATCTGTTTCTGCACAAAGTATTTGATTACATCTATCACCTGGTTTTGATTAAAATTTCTTATAAAAAATATAGAAGGTGGGAAACATTCCTAATATGATAGACAAAATATCTCATACAAAAAATTAGCATCTTACACATTGATAATTAAAACATCCCATATCAAAATAACTTACCTATTAGATATAAGACCTGAAACCACCCCCAGCAGAGTCCTGCCCAGAAAGATAAAATTGTAAACCAATAATAAATTCAGTTTGCATATCTAGGCAAGTACCTTTTATCACTGACAACATCTTTACAGAGGCAAACAGCTCACCTAGACAATAATTTGATTGTCAAAACTCACATTAAGAACCTCTTCTTACTCTACCACGAATCTTAAAACTATTGCATGACAACTTTTGCCCATTTCTAATCAGTTCCCTACCTTACATGTCAGCCCAGACCCCAAGGCTCTAATTTCCTGATTTTATAACACTTCTAAGCCCTGTCAAGGTGGTGTTTTCCCTTGCTGCAGTAAGTTTAATAAACTCAGCTTTGCTTTATCATAGCTCTTTCTGGTGGTCTTTGGAGGAAATAGATCAGCAACAATGTGCCAGTCAAACTAAAGAAGTGTTTCATTAAAACCTAATTAAATCAAGGGTGGATAATATTTCCACAATTGTGTAAGTGCTCTGAATTTATCAGTCTGTGAACTTTATCAACATAACTAAAATAAGAATCAGTTGATGGAGAAAAATGAAAACTACAAATATTTGCAAAGAATTTAGTACATTCTTTCAAAAACCTATAAAACAACAAGACACAGTAAAACTTACCCCCCCAAAAAAACTAAACTAACTTTATAGATACAGAAAATGAACAAGAAAATAAATGAAAAGAAAACAACCCCATCACAAAGTGAAAATATTAACAGTAATAAAAAGCATTGAATAAAAAAGACATACCTTGTCCTTGGATATGAAGATTTAATATTATTAAAAACCAATTCTCCCCTGAATTTATTAAAGTTGTTGAAATTGCAGTCTAAACTGTAATTTCTTCCAACAAGAAGACACATGAGACAGGAGGCAGAAGAAGAGACACACAAATCCACAGAACAAAAATGGAGCCAGTCACAGATGAGAATACAGCATATGCGCAAGATGGCATTACAGATAAATGGGCAATTATTGGCAAATAATCGCAAGTAATGGCAAATAACTTGGCAACTTTAAGATTTCAAAACAAAAATTTCTCATGATTTAAGAATTTGAATTAAAAAAAACACAAAAGAATTAGAAGTTAACATAGGTGAAGGATTTTATGGACTCAGTATAAATATCTTTCCAAAAATGACATGAAACTCAGAAGCCATAAAAGCAAACATGGTTATACTTGGACATATAACAATCATACACATTCTTATAACAAAAACAAAGTTTAAAAGTGTGTAAAAAATATCTGCAGTGCTTCACAATTCAAAGCTTATTTCCCCAATTAGTAAATGACCTCTTCAAAATCAAGAAGAGACTAAAACCTCCTCCCACCCACAAAATTGGACATAAAGAGGAAATTAAAAAATACAGATGACTAATAAACATATGAAAAATGATCAAACTCAAAAACAAAAGGAATACAATTTAAGACAATAGCTTAGGTGATCACATTGGCAAAAATTGTAAATATTTGTAAAATCCATTGTCTGTGAAGTTGCAGGGAAGGTGGCAATATCATTCGTTGCCATTTGAGGATAAAGTTAACCACATTTTAAAAGAAAATTGTGCAATAATTTTCAAAATTTGAAGTGTGCATATACTGAATTCCAGTAAAGCAACTACTAAGTAATTTATTATAATAGACAAATGCAAATTATTAATATATAGGGAGGTTCATTGCACAGAAATTTGGTACTAACATAAATAACTATGAATAATAAATGTTTAAAACATTTAATTATATTTCATCTACAAATCAGTCATGCTGTCATTCAACAAATGACACAAATGTGTATGCATTACTGAAAAAGAAAAAGACCATTGAAAAGACCACTGAAAGGCATTTTGCAGGAAAATATGTTACAATATGACCACACTCGCAGTTCCCCGTCCCCAAAATAGTTTGTGTGTGTTTGTGTGCACCTATCCACTAAAAGAATGCACACAACTCCCTTAATAGAGAAAAACTATAGGGACAGATTTGAAAGAAAAGACATTTAATTTATATATGTTATGTAAATATGTTTTGAATTTTTGAAAAAATCATGCAGAGTTTCTTTTTTAAATATTCTATTTTTTTCAGTTTATCATGTGGCAAATGAAAATTGTAAATGTATATTTATGGGAGCACTGAGCAATTCCACCATTTTGAGCATCTTGTGTAATATTATATCCTCTACTGAGGAGGCTCCTGGGATTGAGTCAAGTGGCAGCAAGGGAAACAGTCACCATGCCCAAATTAAAGTCTCATCGATGATATCGCAACATGAGCATTTCTCAGTTAAGCATTTCTTATCTGCAGGAGGTATCCGCTGCAAACCAGGAAAGAGAGGAGTCTCCATACATAAGGAAGACTGTATCATTGTTTTGGTGAAGCTGGTGGTAGAAGGAATGGCACCAACTCTAACAATGCATCTCGTCTTTGTGGTCATCACCTGCAAAGACACAGTGGAAATATTGGCAAACGTGAGAAACACATTTGAGTCAGGAAGGTATGAAATCCCACTTTACTCTTCCCCTGCATATGCTGGCAGATTTCAATCCAGAGTACACAAAGACAGCCACACTTCCAGCAGCTGGGTCCATGTTGTAGTCAAAACAATGACTTTAAAATGTCCTAACATCAAGGTTGCCAGATATTGGTGCTGCATTTTTTACTTTAAGTGGGCTAAAAAGTGATGGACAACAACCTCAGATTCTGTCTCTCTCTCTTGACCTCTATATCTGGTTTCTTAATGCTCTAAGTTACTCATTTATTTGATCAATTAGTTCTGCTCAAACAACTTTTTGGCTTTCCAGTTATTGAGACTCTAATGTGTCTCATGCATACAATAATTTTCTAGCAAAACAATGGATCCAGCCATTGAAGGAGCTCAGTCTATCAGATGAGAGAAGAAAAGTAAATCCTTCACATTAACAGTACATATAATGAGATGCAGAAAAGTCATGAAGGTATACAAGAAAGCTGTATCTCTTAACACATTATACAATCTGGCCCTTGGAATCAAGTAAAATGTAACCAAAAGTAATTACTATCTCCTTTTCTACCCAGACATGGTTTCTCCTAAAACGTCAAAACTATTCTAACTAAAAACTTACCTTCAGTGGTAGCTCTTGGAATATAGGTAGGTGAAGAGGCTCTTGTCTGAGGAGTCCTGTTTCAGGGATTTATTGGTATCATTCTCTCTCAGAAGAATTCTCAGATAGGTGTCTACTATGGTGACGAGAGAGAGAGAGAGAGAGAGAGAGAGAGAGAGAGAGAGAGAGAGAGAGAGAGAGAAACATCATTTCCAGTGAAACAAGCAATGTAGCGGGAAATTGGGAAGTGACTCTTTGCTACTTTTTTATACTGATTTAATTTGAAAGCTGCCCCTTACTTACATAGCTCTGAAACCATACATATCTGTTCCATAACTCTATACATCTCAATATCAGCACATTGCATCAGGGCATTTCTCATGTGCACTTCCAAACTAAGTAGATAACCTGAATCCCACTGAAAATTGTGTCTCTTACTTTATAAAAATCATTTGTTTGATGATGCTTAATTGACCAAGTTATTCACAAAAATCACTCAAAATATTCTACTTACATATCTGTCCCCAATAAAAGTTTATTGAGAACCTAATCCACAAGGAACATGCCTTAAAAAAATGAACTGAAAAGCATTTGGACATAAGAAATTAAAAGTTCTTTGGGTGAATCAAGCATACAAATAAAGAGCTGATAATAATGATCTCATAGAGGGCAGTTTCTGGTTTGGTATGGGACTGTTGAAGATAGATCCCCTCTCCATCTAGGAAGACCTGTTAGGACTTGCACAGCTGTAAATTCCCCATTACTGTATCCACCCACATCCTGCTCTTGAATGGGCTTTTAATGCTATTTAGCTGTAACCAAGAGGGGGTACTGTCATCAAACTCAAAAGGGGCAAGATATATCAACGCGTATTTATCTGAGGCCTGTTTCCTATAAACATGCAGTTCTCTGCCCATACAATCATACCTAAAAGGGTGTCCAAGAGATCATTCATAGGAATGGAGAACCACTGACTGGGAAGTAAGTTGTCAGCTGCTCATCTGTAACTAACATTCAAGAGTCAAGGCAAGGGCATGGACAGGTTCCCTTCCCTTCTAGGATCTATCATCATCTGACAGAAAAAAAAAGAGGACAAATAATATTTTAAGAAAAAAAATATATATGCACATACACAGATGAACCTATACGCATATATAAATCACACACACACAAAATCTAACATAAACATTCATGAAGTGTGGTATCCTATGTTGTGAGGAGACCTGGAAAGTCCCTTGTAAGGACACAGAGAGTGGTCAGCTAATAATTATGTTTAGTGAGATAAAACAGTCCCATTCTAAGACCAACTGTTATAAAATGAAACTAATACTGCTATATGAAGAGCAATAAAAATATGGTCTCTCTATTAGCACCCGGTGAAGTCCAAGGAAAGCTCCTAACAATTCCACTGGTGAAGGATAAGTTTTTAGCTTAACAATTATCATAAGACCATCTTTACAAAAAATACTTTCAATAATATACGAACAGCTAGAAAGGTTGGATTAAATGAAATTATTCTTTTTAAAAACAATAGCCTAACACTTGCCTAAATCAATAATCTAGTGAAAGGGAACATTCAGGTGTAATAATCAGAAGCACCCTAACCATTCTTCTTCTAAAAGACATAAATGAAAATTTTAATCAGTGATTTGGAAGAAAGCAAGTAATAAGAAATTGTTTTTCAAAAACTGTAATATAACTAGAAAGTCTAGGAATGACAAAATGAGAAAAACATTTGATTACTATATTCAAAGTACCCTAAAAAATGCACAGAACAATAGCTTACATGTGATTCATTGATGTTAACCTCGTTGTATACCCAATGAACAAATGTAAAATTGTGTATCTTAAACAGATGTGCTAATACTCTCTGAAGCCATTTGAAGAACACTACCTCACAAATTTTATCGAACGTATTTATAGGTTTTCTTCAGCTGTTCTGTCAACCAACTGAAATAAGAAATTGATATTAAAGTAAACATTTTAACTTTTACATACAAAGAAAAGTTAAGCCAAAACTTATAAAAGCTAAAACATATATTTGTCTTTTGAATATAAAAATATGGATATAAAACCATAGTCTTCTTTAATTCATTCTCTTGTTTCCGGAAAAGTCAATAAACAAATTTTGAATATTTATCACAATGTGGTAGCTTAAAAATTCTATTTTCAAACGTTCTTCTCCCCAAAATTAATTTTAGTTAAAATTTTAAAACATATTTTATAAATGCTGTTTTATCACATCTATATCTTTTATATATTGGCATATATATAGTAGCTCTAGATTACTTGTGTTCAACAGAACTTTCGGTGGCAATGAATATGTTTTATAATCTCACACTGTCCAGTATAGTAGGCTTTGGCTACATGTGGTTGGTGAGCATGCAAAATGTGGCTAGTGTGACTTAGGGACTAAATGTTTAACTTTATTAATTTATATTTAAGTTTAAGTTTCCACTTGTGTCTGGTGTCTATCACACTAGACAACAGAGCTCTACATGTTACAAAATAAAACCGTTAAAAGCATTTGTAATACACAAACACACACACAGAGAGAAGTTATAAGTACTTGGAAAAGATTGGCTACTCTCAAAAGGTAGAAGAATATCCCAATAAAAGAATACTTCTCCTATTTTTCCGAAAAAGAATATCAAATTAGTTGCTAAAGGGAAAGATTTTGCTTATAATTGTTCAGTTAGAAACCTGAAATTCAGTGTAACCACCTCTAAGTGAATGTTTTGTCCATTTTTGTGAAACTTCCACATGAGCTGTAGAAATCTTAATCTATTTAACTTCCTTGCCTATCTTCTCAGATCCCCCACACATGATAATCCAGGAGTCTACAAGTAATGAAATAGCTTTTAAGACACTAGATATTTTCTCTGTAAATATGTGACACTTGGGGAGTGAACCTAGCATTGACCTATGCTATCTTGTTGCTACCGCAGTCCAGACCAAAAAGGATTATCAAGTTGGAGATTTACACAATGGCCCTACAGAAGAGCCTTACCAAAGGTCTTGCAAGTTATGAGTGTTTATATTGCCACCTAAGACAGAGGTGGTGCTCAGGTGGTGTCAGAGTGTTCTGCAGGTTGGCATATCACACCAAAATATGGATGTGAGACTCATGAGAAAGAAGTTAAAAACTAACATTATAGCACTAAAGGATTATTATTCAAGCAATAAGACAACTGGTACATTCTCCTGCCTGTTCACATTACTAGCAAAAAGAGAAAAATTTCGTAAGTTCACTATAAGTCATACTTTCATTCAGTTACAATGCAATGTTTCTGTTAGAAGTCATACTTTCAGCAATGTTTCTGTTAGAAAACCTTGGAAATTCTTATAGGCCAAAGGAATTGTTCATATATGACGGTCTGGTTGCAGATACAGTAAATTTGTTCCTGAAAATTCTTGTTAATAAGTATATGAATGTGAACCTTGACTTAATATCAATTATGTTGAGAATATATGATATACAGTGACTTTAGAAAAATAACTAAATGGTAGAGTGCAAATGGTGTTCCAGCCTGTCATGAACTATGTTTTGGGTAAGTTCCCATTCTCTTTGTTTTAATTTAAGATGTACAATGGAAAGTACCCTTTTCAAAGATTAGAAGAGACCTATGAGATGAAAATAAATATTTACTTACAGGTCCTGGGGGTAGACAGTATGTCTGGAGTCCACATACATGGAGGTCATGCAGCATGAAGAGAGAGAGAGAAAGAGAGAGTATGTGTAAATAGAGAGAAGAAGACCCATGAGCCAAAGCCTTTAACTGAGTCCAGGGTGTTATACGAACAAGTTTCTTGTGGGGAGTTTTAAGTGGTGGGTTTAAAGTAAGCAAGCAAGAGACCCTTGGGTTCACATGCCAGCTGGGTGGTGGACACTATGGTATATCTGTACAGTTTCTGAGGGGTGGGTGGGTATTATGGGCCAGGAAAATAGTTGCATCTAGCTGACCCATAGGGAGGTGGTCCCAGGAGGTAACTAGATAAAGCACATATCTGAATCAACTGCATTGAGGAACTGGGAGGAAGTACAGAACTGAAAACTGTCAAGAATGCCCTGCTTTGGGTTTGAGAATGTTAAACTTATATTCAAAATGGATGCCAAGGCAACATAAAATTATGAGAATTCACTCCACTCTTCTAATGCTCACATTCAATGGAACATATTGCTAAGGTATCAGGGACATTTTCTCAATCACATGTCTCATTTCAGCCTAATATCTTCATTCCTAAAATGAAAAAAACTGCTCAAACACTGTTGATGCCCAAGGCCTTTATGCTATTAAGCTAAGCACAGAAATGTCAAACATCCTAGAATCCACAAAATCAAAAACATGGAGGACTTATCATATTATTACTGTTGATATATTATTTCATTACAAGAGGCTTCCCACAATAGAGCAAATTATTGCCTAGTTAAAAATTCCCACTTGTTAGAAGCATAGATGAATTTAGAATAAGTGATGCTATAACATTAAGGAATCGCCTGGAAAATCAGAGATGAGTACTGAGGTCAATGAGACTCAAAATATCAACATTGTATTGCTGAGTTTTGAGTGCAACTAGAATCTGGTTTTTCTTCATAACTTTTCCCTCAAGACCGTACAATGGGACAAACAGTAACATTCCTGTAGCACCTACAGGGTCAGTAATAATATCTCCTCTTTCATTCCTAATTTTAATTATTTAGGTCAGTCTAACTAAAGGTTTGTCAATTTCATTAATCTTTGCACAAACCCAAGTTTTGGTTTCATAAATATTCTCTACGCTTTTTCAATTATTTATGTCATGATTTTTTACTCAAATCTGTATCACTTACTTTCTTCTTCAGACTTTGAGTTTCATCTTCTAGTTCAGTCTTTTTCTTGTTTCTTAAAGTGGAAGATTAGGGTATTACTTTATCTTTCCTTTTGTTCTGAGAGTTATTTACAACTATAAATTTCCTTCTTAGCATGTCTTTACTTGTATCACATTGAGTGAAAAATGTTCTCTAGTGTCTTTTAATATTTTTTCTTTGACCCATGACTTCTGTAAAGTGTGTTAATTTTCAAATATTTGGCAGCTTCCAAATTTATTTGTTTTGATTTCTAATTTAATTCTCCTGTGGTCAAAGAACATTCTCAACATTTCAATTTTTAAAAATGTACTGAGTACAATTTTATGGCCTAACATATACTCTATCCTGAAGAATGTTCCAGGTGTGCCTGAAAATCATTTGTATACTATTGTTGGGTAGCATGCCTATAATAGGTCACATTGGTTGATGATACTGCTCAAGTATGCTATATCCTCCTTGTTTTCTATCTAATTGGCTTATCGGTGTATAAGAAGAGGGTAGGAAGATACAGTTATTGCTGAATTGCCTATTTATTCCTTCAATCATATCAGCTTTTGCTTTATATAATTTGGGACACAGCTGTTTGTGCTTATATAATTATTTATAATTGCTATCTTTTCGAGATCAATTAATCCTTCTATCATTATATAATATCCTTCTTCATTTCTAGCAATATCTCATCTTAAAGTCTATTTTCTCTAATGTCAGAATAGGCATTTCAACTTTTTTCTGCAAATTTTTTGTATGAAATAGCTTTTTTCATTCTTTAACTTACAAACTATTTGAGTCTTTTGTTCTAAAATGTCTCCTTTATAGACAGTGTGCAGCTGCTTCATGTTTTTTTCTCTTAATATTGAAATATCTTTTTTTTGAGTTGAAATATCTTAAATGTAATATAATTGTCATACAATTGGGTTTATATATGTCATTTTTCTGTTTTCTGTATGTGTTATGTCTTTTTGGTCCCTTTGTTCATCCTTAACTGTCCTTTTTGTGTTAAATGGGTCTTTTCTTTTGTATTGTTTTAGTTCTTTAGTAGTTCTTTCAATTGCTTTGTTATTTTCTGAGTAGAGGTCCTCAGATTTACAAAAAGTAACTTAAATTATCACACCCTACCTCAGATTAACAATAACTTTGTATTATGGCCTTCTACATGTCTTGAAACCAGTTTCAAAAAGTGATTCTGTCACTCAGTTTGTTCAAATGTCCAAAGATCAATTTTAGAAGCCACCATCAATCCATGTATGTTTATAAAAGGGATCATGAGCCTAGGATAGTTGACAGATAGGTGACCTAAACACTAGGAATTCTGTCACTCTTGGAACTATGAAGTCATGGAGACCTGGAAACACAATGACCCAGGAACAGACTCTCCTTATCACTAGAATGTTACAATTCCCTAAGAAGAATATTAGTATTCCTTTTTTTTTTTTTTTTTTTTTGAGTTGAGTCTCACTCGGTCACCCAGACTGGAGTGCAGTGGCCACTCCTGGCCACCACAACCTCGACCTGCTGGGCTCCGCAATCCTTCTGCCTCAGCCTTCCGAGTAGCCAGAATTACAGGCGCGCGCTACCACGCCCGGCTAATTTTTTTGATTTATTGTAGAGATGAGGTCTCGCTGACCAGGCGGGTCTCGAACCCGTGGGCTCACGCAATCCACTCACCTCAGCCTCCCAAAGGCGCGGGATTACAGGCTGAGCCACCGAGCCCGGCTAAATATTAGTATTCTTAAGAAAAAATGCTTACTGTGAGAATACCCACTGGCCCTCAAGAATGGAATGGTATAATTATTTCTGATACTTTCCTTTATGTCATGTCTCAAGGGGAATATAAACTCTTTCATATGAAACCCAGTTTTTGGTCTACACGGGCCTGTGGAAAATATGGGAGGATGAGAAGTATACAAGTCAATTTGTCAGACATACATAAGAAAGGAGAGCTTACTATATATCTACATACAAAATGTATGAATTTATTACTGGGATATTCTGATATTATTCAAAATATAGATTGTACAAAAAGTCTAGGGTAGAAAAAGACAGATGCCTCGGAAGATGCACCAAATTATTAATGCCTTACACTGCTTGGATGAACAGACTTCATAAAATAAATTAAATTCTCACTTAATAACATAACAAAAATAACTCAGACAAATACAAAAAAATTGATGCTACCTTGGGAGCACATTGTTTTTATCTTACCAGAGAAAGAAACTGCTGCAAATGACAAAAACAGCCCTTCTTTGTTGGGCGGGGGGGTCAGAATTCCAAGCAGAAAATCGTTCCTTTCCACTAGTATCACTTCTGATCTACAAAGCACAAAGAAAATTAGAAAGTTGGAAAAAATGTACCTAATGGAATATTCAGTCGTGATAAGAATTTCACCAGAGATGCTCACATGACCACCTGTATGACAAGAACAATGAACATTTGCTCCTTGGAATATGGTAATATAGAAATACTTTTTTCTTTTTTCTTTTCTTTTTTTTTTTTTTTGAGTGGAGTCTCACTCTGTCATCCAGATTGGAGTGCAGTGGCTGCTCCCGGCCACCGCAGCCTCAACCTGCTGGGCTCCGGCGATCCTTCCACCTTAGCCTTCCAAGTAACTGGAACTACAGGGGCACGCTACTACACCTGGCTAATTTTTTGATTTATTGTAGAGATGAGGTCTCACCAAGTTGGCCAGGCCAGTCTCGAACCCGTGGCTCAGGCAATTCACTCATCTCAGCCTCCCAAGACACGGGATTACAGGCTGAGCTACCGAGCCTGGCTTAGAAATACTTTTTTCTAAAACGTTGATCTCAAAGTTTTCTTGGCACACTCACCATAATTCCATTATTTATAATTAGAATTTCTCTTTAAACATTCATTATAACTAAAATTTGCCCTTGGAAATCCACTGAAAATATATAAAAGTGGCTAAGGAAATTCAAATTAAAAAATAAGAATTGGAAGTTTAGTCATTTCACATCTAGAAGTGTTTGATGTAGCATGTAGTTGAAGCTAGCACTTATGTGTGTACAAAATTCTTCTCTCAGCTGATGGGAGAAACAATAACAAAGAAACAACAATTTAAACCTAGTGACAGTTGGCAAGCAAATTAAAATATACTGTGAAAACTCCACATGTAGTACCTACTTCTCAATTTTTATATACTTTTTTCACCTAGTAGAGAAATGAAAAGCAAAAACCCAAAATGTCTTTAAATTCTAACTATTACATTGTCCTCAAGAGATCAAACATCATTCAGAAGATGCTAGCAGCTCAGACAAAAGTATGAATGGCTCAAGTGTGGGTACAATCATTTTCTGCATTTTCCTTACTCAAAAGTTGACCCCCAGGTTAGAGTGTATTTATGTGCCAGGCAAGAAATCAGTTGCAATTTCTTCTCTAAGTTGGATATGTACAGATCACCACCCAATTGAAGTCCTCTAATACAAATAAGGAGGCTAGCTTTCTGATACCATAGTCCTTTCTGGGACCACACAAATGAACAAAAAGAACTCTCCATTGATATGGTTTGCTTAAGGTTTGTATCTGTGCTGGACTTCATTTTGACAGAAGTGATTATGTAACTCTTTTTTCTCCAGTTTTTTTTTTTTTTTAAACAAGATCAATTATTAAACTCATCACTGATATACACAAGTTTCTACAAAAGGGGGTACTGTTTGCCTCAGAAACATTAAAGAAACTGACAACTCTGGAGTACATTGCTCTGGGACACAGTGATCCACCATATTCAGTCATGGGGATCCACACATTAATGACCAGGTTCCATGGCAGCTCAGCACAGATGGTGCCTTAGGGACTATTACACAATCCCCATGAAGAATGTCAGTATTTTAGAGACAAAATACTTTTCCACCTGACCTGAGAATTCACACTGGCCCTTGAGGATGGGAGACAGAATTATTTTCAGAATTATTTCCTTTGTGTCATAACTTAAGAAGAAGAAATAAACTTTTTTTTTTGAGTTGGAGTCTCACTCTGTCACCCAGACTGGAGTGCAGAGGCACGCTCCCAGCCACCACAGCCTCGACCTGCTGGGCTTCGGCGATCCTTCTGCCTCAGCCTTCTAAGTAGCTGGAACTACAGGTGCACGCTATCACACCCAGCTAATTTTTTTGATTTATTTTAGAGATGAGGTCTCGCCAAGTTGCCCAGGCGGGTCTAGAACCCACAGGCTCGGGCAATTCACTCACCTCAGCCTCCCAAGGTGTGGAATTACAAGCTGAGCCACCAAACACGGTCAGGAATAAACTCTTTTACATGAAGTCTACTTCTTGATCTACATTGACCTGTGAAAATAGAGGAAAAATTACAGAAAGATGAAAAGTACAATTGTCCATTTGTTAACCATGAACAATGCAAGTAGTTTTTACTAAATAAAAGTATATAAAATATACAAAATTATTTCTCTAGTAGGGTATTCCAATGTTATTTGAAAACAGAGGAAATGTCAAAATACTGAAGCCTCAGATGACTAATCAGATTACTAAGGTCTTCCACTGTTTGGATTAATAGACTATTTAAAAAACCAATTGTACTGTTACTTGCTAAAAGAAAATAATGGAAATAACCCAAGAAAAATACACTTATTAAAAACTTGTCATGTTACCTCTGAAGTGCATTTTTCTGCTCACTGCCTGAGATCTGGTGCATATGACAAAATCAGCAGTTCATTGGAGCAGTGGTAAGAATTCCAAGCAGTTCCAATATTATCCTTAATCTAAAAAGTACATTGAGAAATTAGGGTAGTTGACATATGAAATCATTATAATTGAAAGTTGACTAATAACAGGTTTTAAAGAAAAAAATCATAGATATTCACTTGCCCACCTGTAGGAGAATAAAAATTGTGCTCACTCTTTTAAAATGAGAAGTACTGAAAGTCAATTTTCTAAGATCTTGGTCTCCATTTCCCAAAAGCCTTCCTCAGCATTACACAATAAAACTAGGATTTTCCCCTTAAATACACATGAAATCCACCAATAAAAAAAAAGACTATCTGGCAATAAAATCTACATTAAATTTCAATGATGAAAAATTTAATCATTTCACAATTAGATATGTACAGCATCTTGACTTCTTTAATCAAATGTCTAAAAAACTGTTCTTTGGGTAAAAGGCAAAAAGAAAAAAAGGGACCCAATTTTTGTGACAAGGTCAACAAGGAAATTAAAACATCCTTTAAGACATTCCATAAATAGAAACTACTCTTCAATTTCCAAATATTTCTTTTAATTAACAGATAAGTGATAAGTAAACACTCATATTTTCTACTCTCTACCTGATGAACCTGGAAGAGTTTCATCACACAGAAGATTATAACACCTAAGAAAAGTGCATAAAGGGCTCCAGAGTAGACACAGCTTTCCCCATGGTCTCTCTACTCCTATGTGGTTCTGCAGGCTCTGCTTACTATGAGATTACAGATGCTGCCCACCCAGCAATCAAAGAGTTGCCATGTAATACTCAAAGATAAATGCACACACTCACACAGATATACACCTCTATACAATTCATTTGTTCTCATGTATGTAAGTGAGTTAGCCTTACAATACCATAGGTCTTTTTGGTACTAGTTACTGACTAAACAGACCACCTTCCACATATTTACCTGGCATGGTCTCTGTGCTGGACCTCAGCTCACAGAAGTGGCACAGAAATGACTTGGTCACTCATTTTGTTCAGATTCCAATGAAATCCATTTTTAAGTCATCATCGATCCAGACACATTTATACAATGGACTTTGAGCCTAAGGTATGTGGCAGACCTTGGGCACTCAGCTTGCTGTCACCCCGGGACACTCTGACCCACACGATTAAATCGCAGACACCAACCAGTCCCAGGACTGACTAGCACAGTCAGGTCTTGTTGTCAATGGTGTCTCATGATGCCACAGAAGAAATGTCAGTATTCTCAGGATAAAGTACTTACCAATATTAGAATTCCCACTGACTTTTCAGGATGGGATTATTCTCTATACTTTTCCTAAATGTCTCAACACAAGAAAAAATAAATTCATCCATATGAAGCCCAATTCTTGGTCCATATTATCCTGTGAGAAGATTATATATATATATATATGAGTGAGAAGTATGCATGATCAGTTTTCAAACTTACATAAGACAGGAGGTTTCACTATGAAACTGTATATAAAGTATACTAATTTTATTACATCTCTAGAGTGTTTCTGATTTTACTCAAGGCCAAGGAAGAGGTAAAATCTTAAAATAAAGGATACTGAAGCCTCAGACAGTTTATCAGACCATTAATACCTAATACTGTTAGTATTAATTGACTCTGTACATCAAATTAAATTCTTAGTTACTTAAAAAATAATAAACATAACTCACAAAATAGACTCACTAAAAATTGGATGTTACCTAAGGAGTGTATTATGTTCTTTCTTCCCAAAAAAGTTAACTAGTACAAATGACAACATCAGCACTTTACTGGTTCAGCAGTGAAATTCCATGGAATTCTGTGTCATCCAGTCTACAAAGTACAGGGGAAATTAGGGAAGTTATGAAGCAAAATTTTCCCAGTGGAAAATTTTGGTACAAGCAGTTATAAGAACTCTCATTAGACATTCATTAGGTTATCTGTATGACAAGAACAGTTATGCTCACATCTTTGATTAGACATAATTTTTTTCTAAAATATCCATCTCAGCATTTTCTCAGTACATCCGCTTTAAAGCCATTTATTATGTAGCTAAGATATCTTTTTAAATACATTGGAAACTCATTGAAGGTATATGAAAACGACCAGTAAAACCCAGGCAAAAATCTAAAAATTTGAAATATAAAAATATGATATTTAAAAATGTTTGAGAAAGCATATAACTGAAGCCTGCACTCAAATGTACAATTGCCCCTTGAGATCCTCAAGGAAGTGATTCCAGGACCTCCCCCCCCCCAAGGATAGTAAGTAGTTGTTATACTGTACTGCTTAGGGAATAATTACCAAAGAAAAAGACTGTACACGTTCAGTACTGATGAAACCATGCAATTTTTAAAGAATAATTTTGATCTTTTACCAAGGACCTGCCAACATTGGCTGCGTTCGAACCAAAACCGTGAAGAAGGTGGCCTGGGTCATCATTGAGAAGTACTACACACGCCTGGGCAACCATTTCCACATGAACAAGTGTGTGTGTGAGGAAATTGCCATTATTCCCAGCAAGATGCTCTGCAACAAGATAGCCGGCTATGCCACACATCTGATGAAGCGGATCCAGAGGGGCCTGGTGAGAGGCATCTCCATCAAGCTGCAGGAGAAGGAGAGAGAAAGGAGGGACAATTACATTCCAGAGGTCTCAGCCCTGGATCGGGAGATCATTGAAGTAGATGCTGACACTAAGGAAATGCTGAAGCTTTTTGGACTTTGGCAGTATGTCCAACCTGAAGTTCACTCAGCCTACAGTTGGGATGAACTTCAAAACACCATGAGGAGCTGTTTGAGTCTTTCTGTGATGCTATAATATTTTCAATAAACCTGGGACAAAAAAATAGAATAATTTTGATCCAAGATTGCTTGGATTCACTGATGCAGACCCCATGAAGGAGAGCAAATTGTACATGAAATCATTTGCATAGGAAAAACAAAGGTAAAAAGAAACAATTGGTCCAATCAGAGTCATCAGGTTGGCCACAAGTTAAAATATACTGTGAAGATTTCACATGAAATTGTTTCACTTGAAAGTGAGCACTAAAAACTTATAATATCTTTGAATTTTTATTGTATCTTCACCCTGAAAAGATCAATCATCATTTACAAGATTCTGGCAGGTCAGATGAAGGTGTGAAGGAACCAGGTATAGGCATGGATATCTCCTGTGAATCTCAACTATTTACATGCTTGTTTCCTAGGGTCTGTTTCTATGATGTATGGATGTTGGAAACTAAGCACTAAAAGAGTTTCTGTTTTACCCCACAACTGGATATTTACAGACAAATGTACAATTAATTTCTCTAATAGATGCAATCATGTAGTTTTAAAATACCCCAGTCCCTGTGGGTAGAACTACATGACAAACTAAACTCCTTCCACGTGTTTGCCTGAGGTGGTCTCTGTGCTGGACCCCAGCTCACAGAAGTGGCACAGAAATGGCTTGGTTCACTCATTTTGTTCAGATTCCAACGAGATCCATTTTTAAGTCATCATTGATCCAGGCACATTTATAAAAGGGACCTTGAGCCTGAGATATGTGGCAGTCTCTGGGTACTCAGCTTTCTGTCACTGTGGGACACAATGACCCCAGTGTTCAATCATGGAGACCAGCATCATGGACAATGACCAGTCCCATGGCTGACTAGCATAGGAAAATTCTCAGTGTCATTAGAGCATTAAAATTCCCTGGGAAGAATGTTGATATTTTCAGGAAAATATGCTTACCATATGAGAATTCCTAATAGCCCTTAAGAGTGGGAGGCAGAATTATTCCTCTTACTTTCTATCATGTCACAACACAAGGAAAATAATAAAACTGTTCACATAAAATGCAGTTTGTAATTGATGTCATCCTGTGAGAAGAGATAATAAATATGAGAATATAAGAATACCCGTCTAATTTAAAAATTGGCATAAGACATAAGGTTTTACTCTTAATCTGTATGGAAAACATACTAATTTATAACTCCTGGAGATGTTTTATATGTTATTCAAAGTAGAGGAAAAAATAAATATTAAGAATAAAGGAGATTGATTCCTTAGGTAGCTCATTAAATTAATAATGCCTAATACTGTTTGTGTTAACTTATTAATTGCAAAACAAAAATGTTGGTGATTTTAAAAATAATAAAAATTACCCTTAAAAGTAAATTTACTAAAAATTGGATGTTACCTCAGGAGATATCATTTAATATATTCCCAAATAAGTTAGCTGGCTCAAATGACAAAACCAGGACTTCATTAATTCAGCAGTGACATTTCATGAAATTCTATCTCACCCAATCTACATTAGGGGAGTTAGAAAACAAAATTTGTAAATGAAATGCTTAGTTACAAGTGGTAAAAAGAATTCACATTAGGCATTCCTGGAAATATATATTCAATTAATGATAATTGCCTTTGTCATTAATTGGGTAGTCCAATGCATGACAAGAACAATTGTGCTCATATTTTTAACCACCATTAAATGTAACATTTTTAAAATTCTAAGCTGTTAACCTTAAAGTTTTCCCAGCAAGCCCAATAAAAAATTATTATAACTAGATATCTCTTTAAACAAAATGGACACCATTGATGATACAAGTGTAACCAATAAAATACATATAAAAGTGAATTTGAAATATAATCTTAGTGTATTTGATGCAGCATATAGTCGAAACCAGTCCTGAAATGAATACAAATTAGTTTGCTTTTTGATAAGTAAAACTAAAATCCAAAAAACAAGTGTTGCAGTCCTAGTGACTGGATTTGCAAGTAAAATATACCAGAATGCTTCATTTAAAATATATTTTCTTCAATTTTCATGTCATTGTTTCACTTAATAGAAAACAATTGAGTATTTATAGACCTCTTATAAATGAATTTATAGAATTCATTTGCTCTAACATACACAAGCTGGTTAAATTTCTTTTTTTTTTTTTTTTTTTTTTTTTTTGAGTTGGAGTCTCACTGTCACCCAAACTGGAGTGCAGTGGCTACTCCCGGCCACCACAGCCTCGACCTGCTGGGCTCCGGCGATCCTTCCGCCTCAGCCTTCCAAGTAGCTGGAACTACAGGTGCATGCTACCGCACTCAGCTATTTTTGATTTATTGTAGAGATGAGGTCTCGCCAAGTTGCCTAGGTGGGTCTCGAACCCCACGGGCTCAGGCAATCCACTCACCTCAGCCTCCCAAAGGCGCGGGATTACAGGCTGAGCCACCGAGCCCGGCTAACTTCTAATACTACAGGCCTTTATGGTACAAATGGCTGACCAGACTGAACTCCCTCCACATGTTTGCCTGGCGTAGTCCCTGTGCTGGACCTCAGCTCACAGAAGTGGCACAGAAATGGCTTGGTCACTCATTTTGTTCAGATTCCAACAAAATCCATTTTTAAGTCATCATTGATCCAGGCACAGTATAAAAGGGACCTTAAGCATGAGATATTTGGCAGACACTGGGCACTCAGCTGTCACCCTATTCAATCATGGAGACCAGCATCACAGACACTGACCAGCCCCATGGCTGACTAGCATAGCTAGAGTCTCACTGCCACCAGAGTGTTATGTTCCCATAAGAGGAACATCCGCATTTTCAGGGCAAAATGCTTACCAATATTACAACTCCCACATCAACTGTGGAAACAGAGGCCCTTGAGGATGGGTAAGCAGAATTATTTCCAAAATACTTCTTGGTATCACCTCATAAGAGGAAGGAATACACTACTTCATATGACTCAGCCCTTGGTTCAAGTCAGCCTGTGGGAATAGAATTAATATATGTAAAGTTGTTAAGTTTACATTTCCATTTGTCAACCATGAACAAGACTGGATGGTTCACTAAGGACCTGCATATAAAACACTAATTTTTTATCCCATCAGAAATTTCCTGCTGTTATTCAGAAAAAGAAAGTAAAATCCCTGAAGTGAATGAGACAGAAACATCAGAAGACTCACTAGATTGTTATTTCACACTGTTTGGATTTACAGGCTCCTTGCAAAACCAATGACATTCTTTGTTATTTGAAGAAATAACAATAACCTATGAAAATATATTTGTTAAAAATTGCAATATTACCTTGGAAATCAGTGTTGTGATCATTTGCATAGAAGGAAGTTTACACAAGTGACAAAATCAGTGTTTCAATGGAGTGGCAGGAAGAATTCCATGCAATTTCAGTGTCACTTCTCACCTACAAAATACAAGGGAAGATAGAGAAGTTGAGGAACAATATCTTCCCAATTAAATGCTTGCTATTAAAAGGTAACAAAAAACTAACTATAGATGTACCCATGATAACCCATATGACAAGAAAAATACACTGGTTGTTTAGACCAAGGGAGCATAGAAAGTTATTTTTTCTAAGACATTGGTGTCAAAGTTTCTTCAAAGTTCCTCCTTGACATCATTTATTAAAACTACGATCTCCCTTCGTACAAAATTGACTACTTGATATAAATACAATCCAGCAAAATCCAAATAAAATTTCAAAAAATGGAAATATAATCCTTTCACAGTTTAAGATATTTCATGCAGCACATATTTGAATACTTCCCTCAAATGTCTAGAAAACTGCTCCTTGGACAGCCGGGGGGAAAAATACAATCTATTCTACTTGGGACTTTATCAACCACCAAATTAAAATACAAAGTTAGTCCTTCATAGGAATATCAAACACACATCCCATATAGTTCCTTTACTTAAAAGATGAATGCCAAGTGAGAACCCATAACTTCTTTCACAGCCTATCTCCATAGCCCTTAATTGAGTACTCTTCACTGAGGAGATTGTGACATCTAAGGTAAAGTGTTTAAAGGATCTGAGTTTAGGAAAACAAACATTTACCCCTGTATTCACTACTCCTGTACTTGACCCCACCAACTGTTGACATTCAATTGTAACTTTATGTATGCCACTAGTCAAACACCAAAGTCCATGTACCCCAAACCAGCTATTGATAAACAACT